TATCCTGTTTGAATTGTAACAAAACAGATATAGCAACCGTAAGATGGAAAAAAAAAAAAAAAAAAAAAAAAAGGAGAGAGAGAAGAGGGAAGGAGGAAGAAAACAGTCACTCCTTGCAGAAAACAAAGTGCACAGCATGACTGTAAACACTTTCCAGAATGCTTCATTATGGCACAGTTTGGGACATTCTGATGTTAATACCAATTATAACAACTTGTGGTCTGAGGCTGAACCCAGTCCAGTGGAAAAGCCTGCCTTGCTCATCACTTTTTCCCCATGGGAGACAGGAAACTCATAGGTACAACTGTCAGCTGGCAATTTAAAAAATCCAACAGGTTCTTAATTTCTTTCTTTGGCCCCTCAGTCTCACTGCAAACATAAATAAATGGGGGCACATACAAACTACAGCTCTGATTCAGGATAACAGCAAAATGCTCTTCATCAGAGGGTGGTGGGCATGAAACAGACTTGTCAGAGCAGTGGGCACAGCCCCAGGCTGCTGGTGTTCAAGGATTATCTGGACAACGCTCCCAGACATATGGTCCCGTGTGGAGCCAGGAGTTGGACTTGATGATCTTTATGGGTCCCTTCTAACTCAGCGTATTTTATGATTCCATGATAATTTTCAAGCAGAGAGCCGTCCCTCAGGTTCAGAGTGGTGTTTTCTCTTCTTCCAGACGTTCTCACCTCACTGCTTAAACAGATCTGCTCCCTGCATTCAGGTCAAGGCTTGATCTACAGAAGAATATCAGTTTTCCATTGGCTTTCACTTGTTTTACAGGAGAGAGCAGTTCAGAATTTGATGCTCAAGTGACAGAGAAGCCCCTTAAGGTGGGTTGGAGACCCATGAGAAGAAGCAGCCAAGGGCAGGAAACACTGTCATTCATACCCAGCAGTGGGAGAACTGGAGACCAGTAGCATGGACTGCATGCGCTATGAAGACTTTGGAGCAAGCTGAAGAGTAAGGCAAAGAACACTGGTAAGATTTGAAAGAATACTACACAGGCATGGGAGCGACAGAGTGTTTGGGGGTTTTAATTAACAATAAAAGGCAAACTTGCCTTTTTGCAGGTTGAGAGAGATGCATGTGTTTAAAGGGAAGTTACAATGAAAATGAAAATGAAGTGTTCCTGGCTTGAACCATTTAAAGACACGTTCCAAAAGAGATAAACACCTACAGCGGTTAAATTATTGTGTGTCATTTAGGAGTAAGGTATTGGAAATGTAAAAGAAGCACTGGAATATCTTCTCTATCCCAGACCAAAACAGCAAAACAGACCTTTTAGTGTGCAGCTGTGGCTAGAAATAGCACAGTACCTACTCTCATAGCAGAAATACACCATCTTTATCTTACAGAGTAGTCGGAGAATAAGAAGAGGACAAACAAAGCCCATACTTCAGACATTTCCAAAAGAGTTCTGCTTCATCTATAACAACAATCCCTGTGACCTTAAGGTAAAATGGAGTTTTGCTCGAATTATTTATGGGCTTCCTAGTCCCTATGAAATTACCAGGTAAAACAGCTAGAAGCAGAACGTCCAGATGCCTCTCTACAGAGGTCACGTGGCTTCCACAGAATCATGCAATTACAGAATGGCTTTTGCTGGAATGGAACTCAAAGTTTATCCAGCTCCAACCCCATGCTGTGGGCTAGCTGCCATCCCGCAGCTCAGGCTGCCCAGGGCTCCATCCAACCTGGCATTGAGCACCTCCAGGCATGGGGCATTCAAAACCTATCTGGACTACCTGTTCCAGTACCTTGCCACCCTCTTGGTGGCAAAAAAACATTCCCCTGCCATCATATTTAAACCTCATCTCTAAATTTTAAAACTCTACCCCCTTGTCCAATCATTACCTACCCTTTCACTACAGCTATGTGGTGTTCAGCATTCTTCTTTGTGGTGCTGCTTCTATTGATGTTCAATTTGAAACAATGCCTTACTTTGAAACAATGGTAGAATATATTTCGTAGGCTAGAGCTTATTCACAATAGTCTACATGAAATGTTTTTTATTTCATTGGGTGATGAATAGCTTTACTCTGCTCAGTAATATATTTTGGTGAAAATACATTCCAACACTCAGTCACAGCTTGCCTGAGTTTTTTTTTTTTTTAATTTTTTTTTATTTTATTTTATTGAAGAGCACCCCATGCAAAAAGTCATTTAGGACTGTAACAGATGTATTGCTTTATTTAGGCAAAAACAGCGCTGTTATCTGTCATCTTGCAGCTGATGTGAAAGCTCTGAATGGAGCCTTGGTATTATCTGTTTGACAATGATTTTGATGCAATACTACGCTGTTATAAATTAGTGTCAAGAACAAAAAGGCTAATGATAGGGGCTCCTCTCTACACTGTTGATTTAAATAACATCTTTCTTTAAAACTCAACAGTGACTCACTCTCTCTTAAATAAAACCCCACTGTGCTATTTAAATAATACCATGTAGCTCTACTGCATATTTCCTTTGATTCTGAGTACTTCAGTGTTTACTTGAAAAACCTATCAAAACAAGATTGTGAACACTGTACTGAATAATATACCATGAAACATATTACTTCGTGCAATTTTTTAAAAATATTCTATTTTTTAATGTTCTACTTTCTCATGCTCTACAGTGAGCAGAAGTGAGGCTGAAAGTGGCTTTTTTTTTTTTTTTTTTTTTTTTGTTTTTTGTTTTGTTTTGTTCTTGAAGATGATATCAGATACAGGTAAATTCCTGAGCAGCATTTTAAATTTCTTCAGTATATTCTAGGACTCTGTTTCATTTTCTTTCATGTAACTAAAGAGACAATGATTAGAGAATTTCTCATAATTGATGGAATCAGTTTGATGTTGGATTCCCAAACCCTTCAGGCACATACTGGCTAAGCACTGTTAAGTTCATTGGCACCATCACAGTTTAACTAGCTTAGGCATTTTGCTGCAGTTTTAAGTGTTGATGAGTAATGCTGGCAGCATGAAAGCTTTTCTCCTAGTGTCAGATAAAACACTCTAGTTTTTTATATCTAGGTAAATATGCCAGTATATCAGCTTTGTGCTGCTTTCTTCATTCTTACACAAATGCAGCTGATGCTCTCAATGCTATTTTCAATGCTATTGAAAAAGAAGTCACTATCAATAATCTATTATGTTTTACTAATACATCTCTACTGTAGGTGTATTCTACACATAGAGACAAAGAAATGAAACAGAGTCCTCAAAAAGAAGAAAATACATCTTGTCTTTAAGACACTCCATACTCTTCAGAATAAAAAAAAATATTTTGGAGCAATTTTTTTTTTTTTTTTTTTTTTTTTTTTTAACTGAGCCATAACACACAACAAACAAATCTTTCCCAAGTCCAAGATCCATTATCTGTAATTTCTCCTTGCCAGGAAAAATATTGTGAAATGGCAAGTGAGTTCTGAAACCAAAATGAGGGCAGATAAGAATGATCTAAAAGAGGAAGAATGTTATCCTGTTGAGGACACTATGAAGAATGCCTCTTTTACAGCCCAGAAGTGGTTGCAGGTCTCCTAGCTTCAACATCTCAGGTCACACAAACAGACAGAGTTTGTAGAGAGGTACATTTCAGGTAACCATCACATAAGCTGATACAGGATTTATTATTTTGAAACATCATCTTACTCTTCATCTGAAAATGAACTGAAAGATAATGCTATTTACAGATATAAGATACCTGGTAAAAACCCATCAACTTATGTATCAATTAAAAATCACTGAAAGAGAATCATGAGAAATAAACTGGCAGAAACAAATAATCATTTTGACATAACCTGCCCTCTGTTTTTTATTACTAAAATTCTCCTTTGAATCAAAACTTTGGATCATAGAGAAATTGAACTACAAATTGCCATTGTTCCATGTAAACTTCAGTGTGAATAATGACACATCAAGAAATACTCATATTATCAATCATGAAATCCATATGTTTCAGTGAGGAGGGAAATACAACTGTCACTTCTGGGCGAGGCATGCAGAGCTGAGGAATGATAAGATTTCTTTTCTGCATTCATACAGGCAGAATTCCATGTTTATGCTAATAATTAAATAACCCAAAATCACCCTCATCACCAACATACCAAAAGTGTAAGAGATCAAAAGACGTAAATGAACCACTGACTTGGATGTGCTCCTGCACAGTCTGTCTATGAGTCTGGACTGTATTTCCACTTTAGAGTTTTCCTTTCCCCTTGGTGTTCACTGACTGTAATTTTTATATAATGAACATACAAGCTGTCATCATGATCACTGAATTCAGGTATTTTTGTGGCAAGAAACAAAGAAATAGCTCACAAGGAGGTATCTGGTTGATGGCAGGAAGAGTAGCAAACGTGGGGCCTATGAGCAACTGACTTTTAGGAAGATGAATAGAGAAAAAGATATCAAGATAGGTAAAGAAGAGAAGATAGATAAGGACAAGGAGAAAGAAGGCAGGGAGAAATAACAGAAGAAAGGAAAATCAGGCAATAGAAGAGAAAAGACATAACAGAAGAATCACAAGACAAATCCTCAGATGCCTGAGTGGCCACTCGTGATGCCACATGTGTTGGCTACTCCACCTTGATTTTGTAGCATTAGCAGCCACTCAGTTGTCCTCCTGCTGTGACTAGAGAAAAAAATACAGTGACTGTGCAATTCATTCAAGTGAAAGAGCTTGCAAATGAGTGCATTAAGGACAAGGTAATTAGTAATATTTCTTGATCTTGTTTTCTCCCTGCTAAGATCTTACTTCTCTCCCTGCAAGAAGTGGACAGTTTACACAGCCAATGCTTCCATCTCTGAGATTGTTTGTCCATTGTGCTGTGTCCCGCTTTTGCACAACATTTTGACTAAATCAGACCTGTTGTAGATGTGGGAAAGAGGACTTCTCCTCTCCCAGTGGTGAGGCAAAGGGAATTAATATATCTCCCTCTGTCCTTTCATTATTAGCATTATCACTGAACCCTCGGAAAAACATAATAACTTCCCCACACTCACACATTAGCAGACTTTACCTAAGTGTTTCACCAGATGATCCCCTTCTTTTCCACAGGTTCACCAGGCTGCTTGAGCGGCTTGCAGCCGAAGATGACTTCCCATCCCCCACGTGCATGCGGACCACAGTCGATGTGGTGAATGCGCTGCGTACATTCCTTTCAGGCTTAGCAAGGATGATGTAGACCTTGGGCACAAACATACAACCAAGGGCCACCGTGGCACTCAGACTCACTGAGAAACACATGGTGATTATCTTGTAGTTGCTTCCAAAATATATTGGCACAAAAGCCAGCCAAATGATGCAGGTGGTATACATTGTAAAGGCAATATACTTTGCTTCATTGAAATTAGCTGGGACATTTCTTGTCTTAAATGCATAAAAGGTGCAACTCAAAATTAATAATCCATTGTATCCAAGGGGGGTTACAACACCCAAGTTGGTGGTGTTACAAATCAAGTAGACCTCTCGGATGCTTGGGTAATCATGCATTATATCAGGTGGCTCCATTATAAAGAGGGCAACAATTATGCCTAATTGTATACATATCAAGATAAATGCAATAACAAGTTGGGCACAGGCACTCATGAATCTAGGTTTCTTTGTACAAATTTTCTTCTTGCTGCCAGCCAGGATTCTTGCAATGCGGTTGGTTTTAGTTACTAAAGCAGAATAACTCATAGCTGGGGAGAGACCGATGCCAATTCGTTGAAGATAGCAGTAAATCTGTTGAGGTTTTGCGATGAGACAGAAAGTGCACAAGTAACCCAAGCAGATGCCAGCTAGAATGATGTAACAAAGTTCTCGGCTGGAAGATTTGACCACTGGAGTATCACGATACATTATGAATATAGCCGTAACAAACAAGGTTGCCAGCAGACCCAGGCACGCAAAAACAACTGCTGCAATTGGTTCAGGATCACCCCATCTGAGATACTGGACTGGGATGAGGTCACAACCTACAGGGAACAACAACAACAACAAAAAAGTAAATTGAAGTATGTAGGAATTAGATTCTTTAATGATAGTTTTACAGATTTTTCTCTTTCATGAAGTTGCTGTTACCATCAGTGTAGGCTAGTATTATTGATATAATGGCATACTAAATATTTTTCAGTGACAGCTTATTTCAATAACATTTTATCTGTTTGGAGTCTAACAATCTAACACTATGACTGAAAAAATGTTCAAACGCATTAAGAAGTCACCTTGCATCACAGTGAAATTTACCCTTTATTATTATTATTTTTTTTAATTTAGTAATTTAAGGAAAAATTTCATAATCAAGTTGCATTGCCTTGATGTGAAATGCTCAAAAGTTGTCTGCATAGCATATGTCCTTTAAGGAGCAGGCATCAATGATATACTAACATACACTAATTATGAAGTATATTGGTACTTGTTTAATGACTATGAAGATACTCTAGCCATCAAGGAAAAAAAGTACTTCTTCCTCATACAGAATAATTTTTTTCCAGCAAGACTTTTCTGGGGTTAATGATGCAGATTATATGTACTTTAGGATGTCCCACAGTACTCATTTCCATATCTGTCATTCACACTTTTAAGATGTTTGAGGAATTAATCTCTCATCTAGTTCACAAAATCAAACCAATAATAATAAATTAGAGTCAAAGCTGAATTAAACACGTGCAGCCCCTTCAAAGGATGTTAGTTTTTTCAGTTTATGTATGTGTTTAATAAGTCATTCTTTGTACCTGTCTGTCAATGGTTTATGGGCTGGTTCCGCCCAGCTCTGTGACTAGAGGGGCAAAGGGACCCAGGGAACCACACCCAGGGAAGGGAAAAAGGGAAAAAGGGAAAAGAGGGGCCTGAAAACAAAAAAGCAGCAATGATTTGAGGATAAACAAACTAATTTACTAAATAAGGTATCGAAATGCAAGATAACTCACTATAACACAAAATAATACAATATAATTAGAGTTGAAGCTAATAAATCAAATAAACAAGAGTATCTGAAAGCCAAAGGTTTTTCATTCCACAGAGTGCTTGACTAACTAGTTAGCTTGACTAACCTTTATTACAAATTAAAAATGACCTCAAAATTTAGGACTGTTGGAATCAAACTGCTTTTTGGCTGGGCCAGACATAAAAATGTCAGCCTGCCTCAGGGTAGAGGGTGGCAAAAGAATTTTACCCCTTATGGATGGAGTGCTGGGTATTCACATCTGTATTTTCAGTAATAAGAGCAATTTAGACAAGACGCTGTTTGATGAGGACCTGGATGCTGAGCAATTCAAATTAGTAAAGGAGCCTGGGATCCCAATATCTTGATGATCAGTGGGAAAAGCAGGCATCTGTTTTTTGTGGAAATTCTACATGTAAGATGTTTAGTCTTTTCCTTTATTTTCAGTGGAGCTTGAGGTATTTTGAAATATCTCATTGACATTCTTAATAATAAAAAACCTTTCCATGCTAATAATTTTGGTTAATATTAGATTTAGATCCCTTCTCCTCCCAGTATTTCTATATTATGTATTTCTAAACAACACTGTAAAAAAAAAATATAAGTATCTACAATATGATATTATAATAAATATGTTGTCAAGCAAAAGTATGAGGCAGATAGTTCTGTATTCCTGCAGAAAAATCAGCAGAATTAGGGTAACAAAATGTTTTACATATCCGCAGTTAAAGGATACATCGCTTTGGAGTAACAGAGTTTTGCCCTTGATAATTAAACAAAGATTAATTGGCCATTTGTATTTTAACTGCTTTGGTGTGATAAGCTTTCTGCTGCAATAATAAAATTATTGCCATGTCTTAACGTAACAAAGACATTTAGATCTTCACAAAATACTCACGTGAGCATTCATTAACTCCTTTTGGTTTTAAAGGGTTTTCTTATTCAGACTGAGGGAGACAAGGTATTTCATTCTGATTTCATCAAGATTAATGTAGCATGCAAATGACATAATTAAAATCATTCTATACCACTAAGAGTGGCGGAAGAAGGGTGAATAGCAGAAAGCACTCTCTGGGGTAAGTAGATATCCCTCCTGACGTGAGTTCTTCCCAAAGAAGTTTTCTGGGCTTGTTTAGCTTGGAAAAGAGAAGGAGCTGGGGAGGCCTCGTTGCATCCTTCCAGTACTTGAAGGGAGCTTACACACAGGAGGGGTTACCGACTTTTTACACAGTCCGGTATCAATAGTACAAGGGGGAATAGCTTTAAACTAAAAGAGGGCAGATTAACATTAACAGAGTTAGGAATAAATTTTTTACTCAGGGCATGGTGAGGCCCTGACACAGGCTGCCCAGAGAAGCTGTGGATGCTTCTTCCCTGAGGTGCTCAAGTCCAGGTTGGATGGGATCTTGGGCAGCCTGATCTGGTGGGGGGCAACCAGCCCATGGCAGGGGGGTTGGAACTGGGTGGGCTTTAAGGTCCCCTCCAACCCACACTGTTCTATGATTCTATGATTTCATCAAATGTAATTAATATTTTGGAGAAACCATTTGTTACCAGCCTCTGTTACTTCTGCATCTTGGACTGGAATTTTCTAATGTTCTTACCTTACAGCTAGCCTTTATCTGCAGACAATGATATAGAGGCTGACCTGTGCACAGTTTCTAACATTACAACAGAGGCCAAACATTTCTTGCTGGTTTAAAACTATTTCATGCCTTTCTTGCTTTATTACCCTTTTACATTCTCTTAATAAAATACCTGAGAAAAGAGTTGAAACTTGTGCCATTTTTATTCTCTGTAACTGAGTGTACTTTGCAAGGGGAATGCTAAGCTGTGCAATTATTTATTCTTCAATTAAGATTTAAGGACTAGATATTCTTCATAAAGCAAATGATTGGTGAGGCTTTCATTTCACAGTTTTGCAGATAATGTTTTCTGACAATGACACTTTGCAGAAAGAGATGATCAAATCAAGTAAAAGAAATATGGGAAAATGGCACAGTCACTGTACAGTCAGTTTGATGGCTATTATTATACCAAGGCAAATGCTGAAAATTCTAATAAAAGAATATTTCCCATCCCATAAATAACTGTGTGCTCAATGGTGATTTGGACAAAATCCCATCCCATAGCCCACTTCTTACACTTCATCAACATCTTCAAGCACCTGGAAAGTCTTCTCTCCTCACAGGCTCAGAAACTCCAACTGAAATAGAGCCAGAAGGCCCAATCCTGTCTTCCCTGCAGTGGGCTGAGGCAATCTTTGTCTGGTGGAAAGGCTGTTAGGAGCAATGCCAGTGTCCAATTTGGAGCAGGTATAGAGTTGCACTCTGTGCTCAAAAGCGTGCTGCTTCTGGGACCAGTAAAATTGACATAAAACAATCTCTATGTTTCTCTGGCCAGAGACAAAAACTGTGGGAGCTAAGTACTAGATATACGTATAAATAGCAAGACAGATATAAAATATCAGAGTCCCGTTCAACATGCCAGGGAAGAGATTTCTGTGAGGAGCACTAAAAAAAAATATCACCAACAAATTACAGATGAGGGTATCTGAGGATTTCCTGGGATAGAAAATAGATCTGATATTCTGTAATATCCACCTCTCTAAGGATGGGCTAAATGGTTCTACAAATGAGATGAGAGCTCTTGAAGATTTGACCCTTGCCACAGGTCTGAGTAGCCTCTGCTCCCTCTCCTGAAGTAAACTTGCCACTTCTGATCTTTCATATTGCTTTAAAATTAGTTAGTCTGGATAAGAGTTCACAGATATGAAGCATTCTGTTATCATTCTTATTTTCAGGGGATTTAATCATGACACTGTCTTAATTTGTTATTACAGCCTTGGTGCCCAAGAGAGCTTACTATACCTTCATTATCTGTAAAACTGAAAATCTCCTTCATGACAGGCAATATGGAACACATAATTAAACTAGCTCCAAAGGTAAACATGACAGATTAAGGGTTGTAAATAGGATGCAGTCAGCAAAGTGAAGGGAATTCAGAGAAATCCCGTAAGTCAACATCATGAACAGAAGTTCATTATCAGTCCATATGAAGAGTAAAACTGATAGAAAGTCACTGCTGTTTTTGTAAATTCTAAACATTTTTGTGGAGTGAGGCAGTTAGGCACCCCTTAACAAAAGATGTACTTTTCATCTTTTTTTTTTTTTTTAATCTCTGTCATAGATAGCAGGAGTTCAATTGTCATGCCTAAACAACAACCTACTGACTTAGCATCATAGACTTGTATGAGTTGTAAGAGACCTTTAAAGGCCATCTAGTCCAACTCTACTGAAAAGAACAGGGACATCTACAGCTAGATAAGGTTTCTCCAAACCCTGTCCTGCCTGACCTTGAGTGTCTACAGGGACAAGGCACCCACCACCACCTCTCTAGGCAACCTGTTGCAATTCACAACTACTTAGTTGTGAAAGAGAATCTCAACGTGGGACTTACCACACATGATTGAATGCGTATTGCTGCCATGTTGTTAGATATTCTATATGAATATTCCTGAGTTTTCCCTGTGCCATAATTTCAAGAAATGGTAGAAGGGAAATCTTGATTAATGATCCAGATTTTCACATATGGAGAGATGAGAGACAGGAATTGATTCAGAACCAAAATCCTAGTGAATCTGGCAGGAAAATCTTCATAATATTGTTTTTTTTTTTTTTTTTTTTTTTTTTTAGAGGGGAAAAAAACCCAAACTGTTGCCTGAACTGTCAAGACAAATGTGAGAAATACACTCTTCAAAGTCCTGGGTGAAAATCAGCCCTGCTGATGTCCATGTGGAATATGTGCCGTTGAAATGAGAGAGCACATCTGTAACATTTCAGTACTAAGGTCTGGTACCTTTCAATGTGGTAATCTGAACTATTAATATCAACAGTTCTTTCTCTTGTTCCAGGGAAATCTTTCATAGTCACAGCAATAGGAAGACATGTGGAAGCAACCACCTGTTTAATTATCATCTGCAGCAACTTCCAGGCTGGCACATTTACTGAAACCATCCACGAGGGTGGGTTT